CATGTCTCAAAATACCCTCAGAGATAAAAGTACTAGAGATACAATCATGAATATACTTGGAATCATTGGATCATTAAGGCTGGAAAAGATTTCCAAGGCCATAAATTTCAACCTTTGACCCAGTACCACCCATGCTGACTAAACCCCATTGCAAAGAATGGGGATTTGCCAGCACAAGGAATGTGTGCATACCCTGACAGCAGGGAGAGAGCACATACCTCATGCAAGTCTGAAGGTGCAACTGAAGCAGAAGCAGGTGCAGGCGTGCGTAGGAATGATAATTTCAGTGACTGTTTTGGGCGACTCATATTGCACACAGAATTGTTTTGTGTCTAGACAGAAATGAAAAGCAACTTCAAAGATATTTATGAAATACTCTGTTTCAAAAAAGATTCATGGAGAAAGAACAGTGTCCTTCAGTTTTCATAGAAAATTACATGGTAACTTTTCAAATTTTAAGGAAACAGCCATTCTTTGTGGTGAGTTCCTCAGCAAAACATGGTTCTTGCAGTCATTTTATAAGACTTCTAAACACCAGTAAATACCAGTTTAAAAAAAAAAAAAATCTTAGTTTTATATCCCTGAAAAGTACTTAAAATTAGTTAAATGCTTTAAGTATTTAAACTCCACATGGAGTTTCTAATGGCATAAACTCTGGATATCAGAATATTAAATCCTACCAGCCTGCCAAATTGACAGTGAAACAGTCAAAGTTGTGTGAACTGTATTACTGGGGAGAGGAAAAAAAGCCCTCTAGATTTTTTTTAATGCCTACAAGGAGCCAATTATAGAAGAAGCTATTACCCGAATGATGCTGGAAGAACAAATTGCTCACAAGTACTCTGCAAACTGTTGTACTACAAATGTCAGGATATCTGACATGTTTTAGGATTATGTTTCACCTCTTCAAGGTGACAATACTTTGAGATGGCCTCTAGGATGCCATACAAAGTTCTGTCAGGATATTTTCACAGAACTATTAAACCTCACAATGTTTTAAGATGCTTTTGAATGGCAACCTTCCTTAGTATAGGCTCAAGCCTGGCCTATACTCTGTTCCAAGTTTCCTAAATGAAACTTGTTTAGGAAAGTCACAGGGAACAATTTTCTGAACACACAGTGACACTATGACAAAAAGGAAGTAGAAGTGTGTTGTATCTGAGCACCAGTGAGTTAAATCACCATGGAAGAGGAAGTTATTATCCAATACAATTATGTTTGAATAAGATATAATCTTTTTTTACATAATTTTAACACACTTTTAGCACATGGTTACTGCTTTCTGATGTATCACTGAAAAATGAGGCTGCTAGAATCAGGTTTCTAGGAGACAAAATTGTGCCCTCCTCAATATCAAAGTAGGGCCCATTCAGAAATAAAATTTGAGAAAGGGCTGATTTGATTTACCTCCTTGGTATTCCTCAGCATGCCTGCAGACACACAGAAATAAAGACATTATCACTGCCAGACATAACTCATTAAAGAGAGCATTAATTCCTCTTGATTAATGACTAAAGGATTGGGCCTTAGGGTACTTTAAAAATGAATAAATGATACAGTTCATTAGGATATCCATTCATTCACTCTTAAAGGTACAAGAGTCATTAAAAAAGCCATCGTTCATCCTAAAAAAACTCCTGACTTATATGCCAACTAACCTTTCAAACACTTAATATTTTAAAAAATCCTTAATAAAAATTCTATTATAAAGGATTAAGTCCAACGAATATTTAACAGGAACATGTGTCTTTTAATAAGAGTTCTTCCAGTATCAAACCACTAACCACCAGTAATGGCCAATTGCATCTGAAGTTTTGACAAAGTTATTGATCTTTCACAGTCACTGCAGAAGGAACTTACCCTCAAGAGACTCAAGCTCTGTGTTGGCTTTTCTGTTTACTTAGAATTTTTTGGTCCTCCCCTTCAGTGTGAACATCCTGTTGTTACATGCACTGGAAAAGAAAGAGAGACTAATTTCAGGTACTGCACAAGGTGTCAATCAGCTTCTATCCCAGCTGCCAGGAAGAAGAAAAATCAGCTCTCACATTTGTTGTTTACAACAATAAGCTCTCTCTTCCTCCAAATCTCTATGCTCTTTTTTTCACCATTCCTCTCAAGCTCACTTTTCATCTTAATCTTTTTAACTCCCTCCAAGATATCCTTCAAGACTTTCTTAAATCCTGCCCTTTCCAGTTTCTCCAACACCAGTTTCCTCCCCACTTCCCGTTCTCTTCTAATGTCCCAGGGACCCTGGGCCCCCAGCTGTGTTTTACAGCAGAACCACACATTAATTGCCATGAACAATAAGCCCATGTCAAAAGGAATAGGAAAAGAGAAAGAGAGAGACACTCTGCATGCCTCACACATCCACAGGATGCACAGGTGAGCAGGGTAAGGGCAGGTACTACCTGCAGGTGCCCTTGTTACCAGTCCCTCTGCCTGTCACAGCTTGGTGAACTTCTCTGACACTGCCTTTCAGTCCTCAGCTTGGTTGCCCCAGTTACAGCATAGCTGGTGCTTGGAGACAGAATTCCCTCCTCCCTCACCAGAGAGGAAACAGCCCCTTTTAGTGTTGTGCCAAGCTGTGGTCAGGGAGATTCAGTTGTGGAACCAATGAGGAACTTTACAGGTTCCTTTTACCTCTGAAAGTTATGAAAAAATGAAGTCCTGAGATACCTGAGATATTCTAACTTTTGCATGAAAGAGCTGCACAGAGCTTCCAGAACAGTAAAGGCTCTATAAACCCAAATTTTCTTAAGAAGAATTGGGAAAAAAAAATATTTAAGAATCAAAATCTTGAATCCAAACACCTCTACCACTATTCCATTATTCAGACTCTAACTCCCTGAAGATCTGAACACAACAGGTGGGATAGTCTCAATTCCTCTAAGCCAGTATGCATTTACCTCCCACTCACAGTCATCCCTACATCCTGAAAGTCTTCCATCACATTCTTCCACAAATGGGAATTACAACCATCCAGTATGAAATCTGGCATAGTCTCTTAATAGCTACCCTCAAGAGGGCCTTGTACATGTTCTGCCAACACAACAAGAGTTCCATTTTAAACCTTTTCCCATAATTTTTGCTATTTTTCATCCAATTTTCTATGAGCTGTGAGAATGGCTGATACCCCTGAGTTAACAGCACAGTTTTCCTTATGTCTTGCCCTTATACCACCTACAAATGGTTGTTGTTGGTCATTGTTCTTTAAACATGGGCCAACAGTGCAGGGTACAAAATCAGCACTGCTGGTGCTGGTAATTGCTTGGCTAATGCATGTCGTAACTCTACAAATATTTTAGTGCTGGTTTGCAACATGAGTATTTTCCTGCTAATTGGAGCTGACACTGGCATGAAGACAAGCTCAATTAAGCAGCAGTTAAGAGTAACTACTGTTCCTCTGCGCACATCAACTTGGATGCTTGTATATGCACGCTCTTCTAAGCTGAATAACTTATCTCTGCTGCTTTAAAAACATTAAAACCAGTTGTTTTGTATAGAGGAAGATTATATGTGAATTTTTAGCAGAAGAGATAATTATGCATAGCAAGAAAATTATTTACTAAGAAGTATGAGACTATCTTCAAAACTGCAGCTATGGCATGCTTGAAAACAGCCAGAAATTTAAAATCTCTACTATACTTTAAACTCAGCTCCATTAAACTTTATAGTGCCATTATCACTGAGTTATGTCACACTGCAATCCTGACAGCTAGTTTTCCCTATGCTCACTTGTTAAAAAAGTATACAAACCAACAAATTTATTATGATATACCCTAGTGTACCAAAGAAATCAATCCACTATGCACTTTAATAATATGAGAGATTAACACATTAAGAGTTAAAGCAAAATACACTTGCCCTGACCATCCTCTTCTTGCAGGTATCTTGTGCAAGACTTTTAGACCCCCACAGTCCAAATATGTGTTAATATGCAAATCCTACTCCCTCTGACTACACAAATCCTGGTATCTGCAGAGATCATTGAAATCAGCATCTCAAAGACACAGAGCTCCAACAGTTTGAGAAGTCTAACCCCCATACTTCATAAAACCTCTTTTCACATTAATTTCTAAATGAAACACGCTATTTCTTTTGTTGCCTTTAAAAATAATCACGAAACCATTAGTATTCACTTTTGTAATACTCTCATGGATGGCACCAATTAAATTATTAAAGCAGGCACGAGAAACATGAATATTTAACTCATTTCTGATTGCAATTTGCAGCATTAAAAAATCAGTGCAGCAGAAGCTGGGACTTAACTGAAGCCTCACACTTGCCAGTTCACCCCATCATGACGGCTCTGGAGAAGAGCCAGGCCAAACCATCGTGCGACACACCTCAGCAAGCATCACTGCCGAGAACGGTCCCGGCCAAATGCTGAGACACTGTAGCCGCATTGCTTTTGCTGAAAACCCAGCTGAATTCTTAAGGTAATTACTCCTGACATGGTCCCCCAACAGGTTTGCTACGTGGGCACCAGAACACCGGGAGGCAGCAGGACGAGGTGGGGACGTGTGGGCACAACCGCGGGGACGGGGGAAGGTGGCGCAGGCGGGTGAGGCGAGCGTTCCGCAGCTGTTCCAGGCTCCTCACGGCGTGCTGAACGCTCCCAGCTCACTGCGAGCTGCCTGCCTGCCTGCCCGGGCACGGCGGTGTTACAGACACCCGCGGAGCCACGGGGCCGAGCGAGCCTCTGCCCGCCTCCACAGCGGCACGGAGACCGCAGACACCTTCATTTTCCGTCCTCCATTGCAAAGAGCTCCAGGCTGCATGTCCTAAAACAACACAACCCTCTAGGACACTCATGAGGGTGCCCGGACTGAGCGGATGAGGTAGGGCTGGGGTGGGGACACGACAGGACGCCCGAGGGGCATCAGCCACCGCCAGCCAGCACCAGCGGCCGTGGCAGCGGGGTCCGGGCGCTGCACGCCCACGGCCGCTCCGCGCCGCCACGGGAGGGCCCGGCCCGGCCCGGCCCGGCCCGGCCCGGCGGGGAGGAGACAGCGGCGGGCGGGCGGCGGCGGCGCTCCCGCAGCCCGGCAGGCCCGGCAGGCCCGGCAGCCGGGGCCGAGTGGGCCGCAGCCCATGGGCGGCAGCCGCAGGTGAGCGGGACATTCCCGGGGCCGAGCTCCGGCACTGCCCGGCTCGGCGGGAGGGCCGCGTCCCCCCTTACCTCCGGGGGGCACACGCCGGGGACCCGGCGGGGCGCTGGCTGGCGGGGTGGCTGCAGCGGTGGTGAGGGGGGGATGGCCGTGCCCTGGCCGCGGTCTGGGTGCCCGGTGCAGGCCGCGGGCGGGGCGCGGTAACGCCCGGGCTCGGGCGCGCCCCGCGGGCAGCTCCAGCGCCCCGGGTCACCCGCTGGGTGTGACAGTGTGTGACAGTGCCGAGTGTGTGTGACAGTGCCCAGTGCCCAGCACGGCCCTGCCTGTCCCCCCAGCAGCGACACTGGCGCCATGGCTGCTCGGGACAGCGAACAGGAAAATGCATCCTCTAACCTGCCCCTTGCAAGGGTCCCCCTGCAACAGCAGCTGGAAATTTTCAGGGAGATTACCGAGCTGAGGTTTCCTTGAAACTGCCCCAATTCATAGCATCTGGAAGCATTTTGCCTTAATACGCCGAGTTTGGAAGCTGTGTGGGGTATGCTTTCAATTCTGAGTATGAGGATACTCACAGAAATAAGTTTCATTAATGTGTTACTGGTTTCCAGAACCCTTAGCAACAAATTGTTCATGCAGGTGGTTAGAAGTGATGTTTTTACTGGTAAGTGAATACCTTGATGGGTAAGCACGGGGTTAATGTTAGGAGGTGAGAGTCACCTGTCTCTTGCTACTTGGCTTTGGGAGTTTCCGAAGAGCATGCAGGGGCAAGCTCTCTACATTAGATGTGCTTTTTGTAAAAGTAATGTTTTAGACTGTGTGTCACTTCAGCTGAAATCTGCAATCTCTCTTTATACAAAGGAAACATTTTGTTTTCAAAAAGCATCTTTATAAGCCTGTCACTAATTGTACCATAATTTTAAGGGAAATTGGATGGCAAGAGTGAGAACTGGCTGTTCAGAAGAGGTCGTGGCTGAGGATTAATAACATGTCTAAAGAAATGCAGGAACTACAGAAGCAATGGCACTCCGTGATGCAGATCATCCACAGCAACGAAAATGTGGGTCTGGATTGTAATTTGATATGTTTATAAAGCTATATTTTGTAACTATCAAGATATCACACCCTGATTTATTTAAACGCACTCCCTGTTTTTCAAGTGAACACTGTGAGGCCTGTGGGAAGGCCTGTCCTCCCACACCTTCAGTCAAGGAGGAGGGAAGCCTGTTCTGCATTTTTTGTTTTACTGGCATAACCCTTTGAGATAGTAGAATGGCATTTTAGTGAAATGGTTGCAGTGCTATAAAGAGAACTAAAACTACAATATGTGTTTCCTTAAGGGAAGGGAAACTACTACAATAAAATTCTAGTGTATAGCTATGACTGCCTCTGTAAAAAGATTTTTTTATTTACCAGTAATATTATTCTTAACAACTTTCTGATACAGACATGCCTGCACTGTACTTTGATTCAATAAATGAGCAGGTTGCAGATATTCCTAAGCCATGGCTGAAAGAAAAGTTGAGCATTTTTAAATGTTGCAGATTTTTAAAATTAACAAATAGAGGTCTCTAGTTTAAAATAATCGTTGCCAAGACCCCAGTGAAAGCTACAGCTAGACTGATTTTTTTTTTTTACTTATTTTCAGATTGGTTGTTTTTTTGTGGGTTTAGTTTTTTTCATAATTTCTGCAAGAATAGAACTGGGAAGTCCAAGAAAAACATGTCTGTTGTTGGTAGAATATATTTGCCCTGAAGTTATCTAAATTTGCACCAAGACCCCATGCTTTTGAAACAAAGAGGCAAGAGGTGCTCCCTATTCCGGCTGCAGACTGGCAAAATATCTATCCTACCTATGGTTCACTACAGTAACAGTGATCTGTGAAAAGGTATCTGTGACCAGAGGCTAAAAAAAATCTGAAATGTTTTTCTTCCATCTGCAGGTTGTTGCCTTTATGAATTCTCGCATTGGCCAATATTTAGATGACCATCCTTTTGTTGCCTTATCACTCCTGATGTTTATTGCAGTGTCAGCTATTCCTGTTGGATTTTTCCTGGTTTTTGTTGTTACAACAGCTGTAATGGCCTGTATTGGTGTGATAGTCATGGAAGGTACTGTATACATGCATGGATGTACTTACCTATTCCCTTTTAAGGCATGTTACCTTTTTTCCTTAATTTTTCCTTCTGGAAATTAGAGTCCTAGCAATTGAGGATTTCTCTGTGTAGTCCTCAGGTCTGAGCAGTAGTAAAACTCTTAATACAAGAATAGTAATCTAATTAAGTGTAGTCTATACGGGAAAATCCCATTTTCCTTGTCTAATCTCAGCCATTAGGATATGCCTAAACCAGTTATCTTGAGCATGCATAGCTTTTACAGAGGCTTACCAGATGAGTGAGGAAGATGGTTTTCCCAAATTGTTTTGAAATTTGGGTTATAGTAGAATATCAGCTTTTCTATTTGTACATGGACTTGTTTGAGTAACAGAGTGATGTTTTGTTAGGTGTTGTCATAGCCATAGGTGGCATAGCCCTTCTGTGTGTGCTGTGTGGCCTGGGAGCCCTGTCCCTGGGAGTTTCTGGAGTGCTGAGTGTTTCTTACGTTGCGCTTTCAACTCTGGTCAACTACTGGTGTGCATCAAGGTGAGTATGGATGTCTTTGTCCATGCTTGGGTTTCAAACTCTGCAGTTGTGCTATTGCATTCATTGTTGCACGTTTTTCCTCAATGAGCCACTGTTGCTTAGTTTACCAATGTTTCTTGAGTGCTTTGAATCCTGGGCTACCCTCATGGCTTAAAATTCAGCATACAGATGTTTGGGCATTGATAGGTATTCTAATGAGTATTAATTCATGCCCTTTTTGGGACAGAAGAAACATAAGTTGTCTTTAAATGTGAATGTACTAACACAACATGACCCTAGGAGTAAAATAGACCCTTGTTTCACTCTAATGTGTTGCTTTAAACATCATTAAAACCTACTGCCAAGTTGAATTTTGTGTAGGAGATTAACCTTGCAGTTTTTCCTGCATCATGGCCCAGCTGCTTACCTGCACTTATAGAGTAAGGGAACAAAATTCACTGTAGTTTTGGGAGAGGCAGAGGAGTACTTAAAAAGGACAGTGTGGCCAAAATAAAAATGACAGATTTTGTAGGATTCTGCATGTGAAAGTTGCTAGTTGTGCCTCTTGGGACTTTGGGCTTGTTTCAGTCAGCATTGCCTGAGCCAGGCAGCAACGAGCAGGAGGCAGCAGCAGGCTGTGCTGGAGTGCCACCTGGGGCCCCCGGAAATTCCTGCCAGGGAAAGAACCACAGTAATCACTGTGCCATAGGGAAGAGCAAGAAGAAAAAGCACAGCTGCTCTCTTGTAGGCTTCCTTAGTTTGCTCCTTCAGCACAGCTGTGTTTGCACAGCTCTTGAGGACACACAGAGCTGCCTGAGATGGCAGGAGGGTGACAAAAGCATGGTGCAAGGCCTAGTTCCAAGGCATGCTGCCATGTCCACTACACTGCCCACCAGTTCCAGAAGACTTGTATTTTCCATAGCACATCCAAATGCACAATCCATCCTACACACCAGCCCTGTTGAGCTACAGTGTTGACATTAAAACAGATAACATCTGTTTTTGTGTTTCTCTGTCTCTTGAGAGAAGCTTAGGTAGACCAGCAGCAGATATAAACCTGTCTGGGACAGCTCACAGTACTCAGCTTTTTTTGAGCAAAAAGTTAAAAGACAATCTTATGGAGGAACACCCAAAAAAAACATTCTTTTCTCTTGTACACAGGGGTCAGATGAGGAAGCAAGATGTGAATGGAAGTTTACCACAGAAGCAGCCTGGCTTGGATCTTTCTGCCAATACTGGAAAGAGTGAATAAGTAGGTTTCCCCAGACTTCATAAGCACTTAGCTGTACAATCCCAGCATTTGCTATGTAACTGTTCACTCATTAAGCATTCAGTCATTGTGTACTCCTGGAAACTGAGGAAAATCAAAATACATATTACATTGGTACTGTAAAAGGGATTTTAAGAATAACCAAGAAGCAGCAGTGCAGTAGTAAGCATGTGCATGGTGGAATGTTCCACAGAATTTGGTAAAAGGCTGTAGTAATAGTGGGTACTGTTAAGTCAATGGCAAGTAGGTGGACAGAAAGGGGAGGGAGATATTTGACTTCCCAGATACTGGAGTTCTGAATGTACTGTCTTTAGTACATAACAGTGGTCATTTTGATACAGAAGTATCACAGTTCAGAACAGTAGAAACACATTTTGAATGTGGAAAAATATTTGTAAGCCTTAACATCCTTTGTTCAAATAGTATGAGTACACCAGGCCAATGCTTTATATTCATTATAAAGGAAAAAGTAGGTTGCTCATATGTCATGGTCTAAGCTTTTTTTCCCCTCCCTTTAGATGTTGTTTTATTCCAAAGGGAGTTCCTTGCTTCATCATATCAGGGGTAGGGCTTATGTCTTGTTTAGGTCGTATTTAAAGTGCCTGGTTTGCTTCTCAGTTGTAATTTTGTGTATGTTATTTAAACTTTTTTCATTTTTGCAAATATTATGTTTTTTAGCGTTAAGAAAGTAACTATGAGTTTAATAAAGTGCTGTTTGTTTAACCAGATTAATCTTGTTAATCTGTTTTAATTCTACATTAAAAACAAGTTTTTCACATCTTGGTTTAGGAGGGCTACAATTGGAGCTGAGATTTTTCTCCTTGAATAAAGTATTTTATATGGCCAACATTGCTGAGCCACAAACTGCAGATTACTTGCCTTCTTATGCCTATAAAGGAAACGCAGATGTCTAAGGACTAAACTAGTTTTATTTAGTTTTGCATAAACCAAACTGCCGCTTGACCACATCATGGACACAGAGCCTACCTGAGCTGTAATGTGCTTCACAGAGTAGTGGTGGTAATAGTTTCAGCCCCTAGGCTAAGCTGGCCCCACACTTCAGCTGCAGAGTGAAATAAACCCCATAAGATTTCCAGGAGCCCTTTACTTTTAATGGCACATTAATTCAGCAGACAGTACAAAGCCACATAACCAGCCTGCCCTCAGGCAAGGCTGCCTGCAAGAGCTTTCCAGGAGGTACCTCCAAAGACAGAGCAATAAAGCCCTTACACCTCTCTGAAGTTACAACACTCCTAATCTGTACCACAGCTCATACATGAGTACACAGCTAAATCGTTGTCCCTCATTTTCCTTTATGCCCTCATCTTCTGAGGAGAAGAGGCATTACTTAATAAAATCAGCAGAAACTAAAATAACTTAATCCAGTCCCACTCTGTCTCACCCAACATGAACCATTTCCCTCTGCATTTTAAGTTTATTTTTCATTATATAATTCATTCTGTCATCAGCATTTAGCAGGAACTGAAACCGTGAATTCTCAGTTACCTGCAGGTAAACATGGAACAGTTCTGCTCCTGCTGCCCTGACCTTTGCATGCTTATCAGCCTGTCATTTCAAGGCTTCTCACCATGTCCTTTTACCAAGAGCTGTTTTTTCTGCAGTGCCATCACCAGAGCAAGGTTTTCTATTGAGAGATGCAAAAGAAAAAACTAGGTCAGCATAGAGTAGGTGTTCTACTGCAGACAGTGAAGCATCCCTTAAAAGGGGGGCAGAGGTTGTTTTCTTCTTTGAATTATTAAAGACTGCAGTAGAACTAAGGAGTCCTTAGCAAGACAAACTGGGAGGATCCTGTCAAGTCCCCTTTTTCTCAGTTGCTCTCTCAGCTTTCTGCAGAACACCACCAACCTCAACAAGAAGCTGGCAAGAGACTCCCACCCCATGGCCCCATTCCCAACCAGCTCAGCCCACTCAGCTCTCACAGATCTGGTTCACTGCCTTAATATGCAGCCACTCTTGTGGCCCTACAGCCTGGTGGACCCCAAACATCCCATGTCTATGGAGATCTGGAGCAACCAACGTGGTATGGCTCCTGAAGCAGCTGCTTGAGCTCAGGCTGCAGAGTCAGTGCTGCCTCACACTGCAATTCTTCCACCTTCCCATGCAGCACCATCATCCCCACCTCACCCTGCCCTGCATCAGAAGAGAGAGCCCTCTGCTTGAATGCAGGAAAGGAATATTTTTTGTTTGTAAGATAAGCTTAAACTTTTCAGATAACACACTTTAACAGGGAGCAGAGAGGCAGCAGCACACACAGAAGAGGAGGGCTACAGGGAGGAATGGATGTGACTGGGCTCTAGGGTAAATTACGTACAAAATAAGGAAGACAATCCTGTGTTTTCCTTGATATAAATTAAGAGTCTTCATTCAAAGCACCTCTACAGTGTCCCTAAAGAGCATTAAATGAGCCACCCTGAGAGAACTATAGTTACCCCTCCCAGAAACAGATTGCCTCTCACATGCCACACTGAAGTCTTGCCCTAGAAAAACAGTATCAGCCAGGGGCAGAAACCAGGAAAGTATAACTTTCTCTTTGACCTAGATGGCTGTCACCATGTGCAAGCTCTTTGTCTCACCTCCTCAGGCAGTAAAAACAGTACAAAATACAGAACCCAAAGAGCAAAAGTAAAGCTCTCACTGCTTCCCATACTGAAGGTACCCAAGTTATTTTAAATACCTTCACTAGTGCAAGTCTGCAGATTCATATACACAAGATATGTGAGAAATAATTTAGCTAATTGGGATGTTAACTAGCATGTTTACATGTCACTGTAACATTATTTAGTAAACTCCAACCATCCTAAAGCAAAGGATTACGAAGTCCATTAATGAGAAACAAGCAAACATCTCTACCTGAACATACACAAAGATGTTTCCCTCACAGTTCAGAACAAGGCTAGGGAGAGCAAATATTAAGATGAGCCTTATTTGGGGCAGAAGAGGTAAACAGCCCATACAATTAAGTACAACATACAGTTAAGCACATAAATTCTCTTCATCAAGGACCACTTACCTGGCTTTTGCAGAAATGCTTCATATTCCAGCCAAGTGTTAAGTCAACAAGACTTAAGTATAGCACATTGTTTGCTGGACAGTAGCTTAAGTTATCCTTTCAACCCTAACTTCTATCAGGCCAGTGACAGTAACTGACTTGTAATTAAGTGGTTCCAATGTGAGATTCATAGTCTCATTGTGATTATTATAATTGATTAAATACTAGCATAAGGGCTAATGATCATGTTAATCATGGTATCTACTCCATGCTCTTTGTATAAAAATACACATTAATACTTAGAAAATGCAGCCTGAAGCCTATTACATTAATAATGGCTCAATAATAATGCCTAAGTGAAGCAGGGGCTGTGGAAGACAGGCCCACAGCCCAAGTCATTTATACACAGCACATTTGACAAGTGTAAGGTTTTGGCCACTGATTTAATCTGAAACCCTGCACACTCAGAGACCACAGAGCTGGACTTGTGATGATCACTCTCCCTGCTCACACAAAGTTGCCAGACAATGTTTAACCTAAGGCTGTTACACTCCTACTGCAGCAAAGCACTTTCACTGTCACATGCAATTATATTTCATGCCTCATTTCCTTCACTATGCAAGGCAACATGTACAAAACAAGAACTGCATGAAAAACTGCCTCACTTCAGGTGGGCAGCATTACTGACAGCACTGTCTATAGCTGTATTGCAGACAAGACAGCTGTAGTTGTACTCACACTTTTCCTCCCCCAGTTTGAGACCCCAAATTACATACTCCTGGTGCCCCTATTAAGTGGCCAATGGAACTTTCAGTCATCAGAAGACCAGCTCTGGCAGCAGGAAGTCTGTTTCACTTCAGTTTTTCTGGTGTCCTTCTAGGCTGCTCTACACAGAAAAGGGAGGCTCTACTGTATATGTCCTTTGAAGACCTTTTGAAATTATCTGATTCCCAATAAGGACAAAGGGGTTTGGTTTTTTTTTTACAGTAAAGTTTTAACACAAGTTTTGAGTATTGCTACATAATTTCAATAAAGCCAGGTTTGAACTTCTAGGTACAGTGTAGGGTTCATATTTGCAAGAGCAGCTGGAGGAGCTACTCATACCACAGATACTGGCACAATATAGATTTTAAAAAACCCAATTAAATGGAATCACAACTGTGAACAATAAGCAATTCAAGAAAGGAAATTGGCTGCAAAGTCCAACAGGAATTTAACATAGCAGTGGTCTGTTTCAGAACAAAGATGCTCAGGAAATTAAGTATTACAGTTATTGTTAAAGGCAAATCTACAATAAGGAGGCATTCTGAGGATGAGCAGTGTTGATTTGCATGACTAGATGCAGGAGAAGGAATACATGACAGACATAATTCACCAAGTGACTACTTCAAGTTTATTTTGAAATACACCTAATGTACCACATTTACCATATATGCTCTTCTCTTTAGGCATTTAAGAAAAGCCCAAAATAGTAGCATTGTGGCCAGAGAGAGAACACCAACAGCAGTCATTGCAATGCCAGCCCACATCTCCTTGTTCAGGACAGTGCTCCCTGCAATGCAAGGGGAAAGGCAGTTTGGAGTCAGATCCTCACTAAGCCCAGGTAACACCCCCAGCACCACACTGGCTCAGTACCTTGGGCTGCAGACCACTCTTCTGGCACAAGGAGAACAGGGCCCCCCAGGCTCACCACAGCAGAGTTCACAGCTGCCATCCCACTTTCTACAACAGAACACAGCACAGTTGAACCCTACAGTGCAGTGGGCTATCTTGGATCAGTGCAACCTAAAATCCACTCGGACATTACCTCGCCTGCTTCTAGATGGCCTTGGGCATCTTGGTATGCACAGGGGGGAGTCCGGGTGAAAACGGTGGCAGATCAGAACGCTGCAGTGGAAGTACACCTGGGACACAATGAGAGGAGTGAGATATCCATTCATTTTGAAACAGCAACTCTTCCTACTACTGCTCCAAGTCCAATGTCACCTACCAGGCCAGGAAGGGCTTTGTCACCAGAAACAAAAGCAAAAGTCTTCACTTCCAGCCTCTGGCGATAGTTAGCATAGCTGACACCACGTCCCACAGGGTGAAACACAGTCCTGTAGCTGTCTAGGTCATACTCACAGCTGCCAATAAATGAAAACTAAGTCAGAACACCAGGGCACAGAAAGTTTGGGTTGTTGGCCTTGACTCTGAAGTAGCAGATCAAGTTTCAGGTTGAGGCACTACCTTCTTCCTACAAATTCCAGCCTCTCAGGACAGTACTTAGAAGGCACTCATACTTAAGGCTCTCTTACTAGAGAGGGAGCAGGGGAGAGATAGAGACTCCTCACAACCACTGCAAAAGGCACTTTCATTTGTGTGGCAGGGCACTCACCCATCTACAACAATATTCCACTGGGGCAGTGATCTTGGCTCTTGGGAGGCCGTTGCCCAGCAGTCATCCAGTACCAGGTGGAGGTTGGGGTCATTGCGGTTCAGGACCTGAACTTCCAGGAAGATGGGCTGGCGCAGGTACCTCACTATGGGATACTGATCCTCACGGTAGGGCTGCCTGTACGAGTCCTCTGCAAGAGCCAAAGTCACTTAAGTAACTCAGGGTGCAAAGAGGGTCTCAAGCTCTTTAACAGCAGCTGGTTTGACAACTACTGTCTGTCCAAGGGCCACAGGTTTGGGGTACCTGCTTCAAGCAGCATGGATGAACAGGAAGGAAGCACACCAGGACAGAAGTCCATATACCAGAACAGTTCACTCATCCACCCTCCCCTCCACCAGCTCCAGATACTCCCCCAGCCAACTGAGCCAGCTTTACCTGGGTAGCTTAGAAGAACTAAG